GTAGCCAACTTCGGCACATGATGGAGTTGGCTTAGGCCCACTGATCCATGTTGAGAAGTCATTATAGATTAACTCGACCGTTGGATACGTATCAGAGTGACTTATACAAGTTTACCAACCGAACTCCATTGACCAATTGGAATAGCCCTTGGAGACGACACGCATTCGAGGGATGCCCCATTGCTCACCCTCGCGCCCATAATACCACATGGGCAAATTCAGCTAGGAGCAATTACCTTGACGGCTGTTGCCAGCCTCCATTGAAGCGATAACGCCCAACCGGAGCTGACAAAAATTCCTGCCAACAGTGTCCGCACTTGTTCGCTGCAAGTGAGCTGACCCGGTTGCGAGCCTCAGCTCCTGGCCGGTGTTTGGCACGCGTCGGTAGAGCAGTAGACGATTGGCGCCCAGGTGACAACCTTAGTTCCTCGCCTGGCGTGAGTCTGTACTCAGCCAATCTTGTACAAAGTGGACACAAAGTACCATGCTAGGTTTTGCAATGTTTCACTAAGTTTCACAAGGGCCATGCATGAAAGTGGATAGCGACCCATGAATGACAGTTCTATCCATCCTATTTTGCACGCCCGCACACCTTCCGCCGTGCCTGGCTGGTGTAAACGCGGCGTGTCCCTGTCCCAAAAGAGCGCCCCGCAAGAGCTTCCTACAAGAGTGACCCAGAAGAGTGTCCCACAAGAGTGTCCCACAAGAGTGTCCCATAAGAGTGTCCCACAAGAGTGACCCACAAGAGTGTACCGCAAGAGTGTCCCATAAGAATGTCCCACGAGAGTTTCCTACACGAGTGACCCACAAGAGTGTCCTAAAAGAAGAGTGCCCTGCAAAAGTGACCCACAAGAGTGTCCTACAAGAGTGTCCTACAAGAGCGTCCTACAAGAGTGTACCACAAGAGTGACCCACAAGAGTGTCCGGTAAGAGTGACCCACAAGAGTGTCCCACAAGAGTGTCCGGTAAGAGTGACCCACAAGAGTGCCCTACAAGAGTGTCTCACAAGAGTGTCGCACAAGAGTGTCCCACAAGAGTGTCCCATAAGAGTGACCCACAAGAGTGTCCTGTAAAAGTGTCCCACAAGAGTTTCCTACACGAGTGACCCACAAGACCCTGCCAGAGTTTCCTGCGAGGGTGACCCACAAGAGTGTCCTACAAGAGTGTTTCACAAGAGTGTCGTATAAGCGTGTCCCACAAGAGTGTCCTACAAGAGTGTCCCACAAGAGGTTCCTA